CCTAAAATTTTCAAATCAAGGGCGTGTTTGAATAATTTTGTTTTCAGATTTCATTATAGGAGGTCTAGGGGGATTTGGAATAACAGCTGGAGCCCACAGATATTTTACTCACAGATCGTTCAAAGCCAAGCTACCTTTGAAGATTATCCTGTTGATGTGCTACAGCATAGCAGGCCAGGTACGATGCCAAATAGATATGATTAATTTTTTTAATGTTGACTCTTCAACAATCAAATATAAAGAATGGTAAAAATGTCCCATGAGTCTGAATTCAAGTGTTTTTGCACTTTGACACGATTTCTTCATTTTATATTACTTCGTCCTTTTTGTACTGGGAGACCATAAATCATCTCATAATAAAATCTGACTGGAATATGCTAGCTTTCTTGAAGTAATTCCATTGTTATTATTGACTTAAAAAAACTTTTTAACTTTTTTTAATCAGCTTTTTGCTTTCAATAAGCGATTTCTTTCTTCCAGAACTCACTAGTAGACTGGGTCAGAGACCACAGAGTGCACCACAAATACAGTAATGAAATCTTGTTTGCTTTATTTTTGATATACAGTGTGTCCCAGGATTGATACACAAGTGGTGTGAGGAGTAAAATTTCACCTGAAATTTTCTTATTAAATGGGTTTTTAGGTTCGGTATTGGTTCGATGATTCTAGGCTTAAAGAAAGTCATATGTTAGCCTCCGGTGTTTCATGTTCAGGATACCGATTTAAAGAAAGGCAATTTGTCCCTTTTTTCACACAAGAGGGTAACCTAGTTTTCTGCAATAATGTACCCGGCGTCATGGAAATGTTCAACATAACGTATGCACCAAGTGGACCATTTGTGGAGACTTGAAAGTTATTTCAATATTACTAGGTGGTTACAATAAGTTTCCATATTTCTTATGTGAATGGGATAGCCGTGACAGAAAACAACAAGCAAGCAAGCAAGTGTGAACAATGAGAAAGGGTCTTATCCCTAGAGTTGAAAAAGTTGAAAAACAAAGTTTAGTGGATCCTAAAAAATCTTCTTTTCACCACTCCATATCAAATTGGGGCTAATGAAACAGTTTGTGAAAGCATTAGACTTCGACCCTCCACTGCAACCTGCAAGGGTTTATTGTGACTCACACCTATAAACCAAATAAACCCAGCTTCTTAACGAAGCCGATTAGTTTGTATAGTGAGTGGTCATTCAGGTCAGATGGTAAGAGTACGGCTCTGCCGTACTCTTGAGCGCAAAAGTTTGCTAACCTGCTCATGGGGGGGTTTGTTCCTCCACCTGAGAAAGATTCTGCGTACGCCACTCGAGAATTTGGTGCCAGGCGGTTTCAAAAGGTACCCCGCTCTTGAGGAGACGACTCAGTCGTTTCCTGGCTGCACCACGAAACCTTTTTTTTAGGTTCACTTATTGGATCAGGAGTTGGAGAGTTGCGGAGCTCTCGCTCCTGATCTAAATTTACAGGGAGGTCAGTTGGAGTGGTAAGCTTGACATCTATCTCCTCCGTAGACTCAGCATCAAAAAGAATTTTTAAGTTTACCCTGTCCATAAAAGTCCCACCAGTAGCTAGGGAAAGAAGGTCAATCACGGCAGAGCCCCGCATTACCGTGACAAGGTGATGCTACGACGAGAGGGCGCCCGGTATCTCGAAGGTTCCGTAGAGACAACTGATAGGCTCAGTGTCATTCATCCTCTCGGCAGGGATACACACACCTAAGGATTAAGCCATCGTTGGAATGCCATGTAGTTAGGGAATAACAGAACCACAAGTGATTCTCTCATTCCCGTATCTAGCGGGGCTACGTGAAAGCAGGCATCCGATGGCCGGTTTGCTCAACCCCCACATCCCAAATCAATGCACTCACCAAAAACAGCATACAAAGTGAAAGATGAACAAGGACAGCCAACTCGCCCATATGCAGGTACTCAAATAACTTTCCTCTTCAATTATTCTCATATAAATACAACAAAACTTGAAATATTGTAAATTTATAGCATCTTCATAAATCGCTCTTTCAAGACACCTAAAAATGTAGTGACTTAATGATCCAACGGTCTAGGTCGAATTGATCTCTCCTTCGAAATATTCACTTGACAACTGTTTTCTGTTTCTAACCTGATATTAAACACGTTTTTCATGTAAATACTCAAATATTAGATCATATCATTGGAATAAATATCGTAGCTTTGTTTTTCAACATTCCACCTTGAAAAGCTTCGTTTACATTTGATATTCATGGATGGAGTCTTCTGCCGATCCTATTGATGGCGTCTTCGTGGAGGCAGATGTCATCCTTTTTACTTACTCAGGCTTGTATTTCAAAGACAGTTGAGTACAGTTGAGCTTAACACCTCAGATGAGACCTATGGGAAGTCGAAACAACGCTATTTGCTATTAGATGCCAAATATTTTGTGTTCGGGCTCCGATTACGAACAATGGCGAGAAATATATCCAGTAGCATTGTCCTTCTCTAATCTCGTATTTGCTGAAAAGGTATTTTTGCATTTTCATATCTTGTATACTTTTACTTTTCCAGGAGAATTTTTCCAGCTGAAAACCTGGCTGTGTCCCTTTTCGCCATGGGTGAGGGATACCACAACTACCATCACACCTTCCCGTGGGACTATAGAACTGCTGAACTGGGTAAACTATTGAACGTGACCACGTTTTGGCTTAACTTTTTCGAAAAAATAGGCTGGGCGTACGACATGAAGACCCCTTCCCAATCGCTGATCGAAAAGGTAGTGAAAAATCACGGAGATGGTTCCCACTACAGATGGGGGCATGAGGTGCCTATACGGGAAAATGAACTGGAAAAGGAAAAGTTGTGATTGTTTTTAGTTATTTATATTCTGATGGTGTACATTATTGTAGAGAGATGTATGATTTATTGATTAGATATATGTATTTTACAGATATGTTTCGTTATTTGAACAACTTAGAATATATACATTCATATCAGCAGCTCACCCTTAAAAACTATTCCGAAACATCGATGTCCGCCATTAAGGATGACAGTGTTCCATGTAATTGAAGTAATACCTCTTTCTTATACGATATTGTGTAGCAATCCTGTGTATGATATCTGAATCAATTTCATAACGAGATGGCTTTTTATTCTAGTTTGTGTCTGAAAGTTACTTCTTTACATGATCTACACATCTTTGAAATGAGTTAATTTTGAAATAAATTGCTTTCTTTCTTCCTTAGGAAGATTCCCACATTTTTTTGAATGATAATGGAGAAGTAGAAAGCCAAAACCTTTCTTTCCCTATAACTAATCTCTCCTAAAAATATACCCCTTTCAATTTAGTAGTAGTGTTACTGCTTAGTAGTAGCAAAATTGAAACTATCGCGCGACCTAATTCATTCAAGCGGTTGTCACACACCAATTTTGCCGTAAAATCATTTATACAAATTTGGATTTTGGTTCTACTTCAAAGTTGACTCTGTACCGGAGGTTACTTTTACCCTTGGGATGGACGGCACCCTTTTCATGGGGTGGAAAACGTTTTATTAAATGATTTCTTCTAGTCAACTTTCATTCTATGAAGTTTATTTTGAAAGTGAAAATTTTGTGTGTGAGTGTGTCAAATTTTTCCACCAATTAACTCACGTTACTCAGTTCAATCTTCCTCTTGAAGATGATCACTTGGTGATCGAAACACGTGTAGAAGTATTGAAATAACGGTTTGGTGTTGGGATAAAACTCCAATAATATTATTATAGCAAAGGTTCCAAGCAGTGCATTACAAATGTCACGTTCATTAGTTGAAATCATTTTCAGTAAAAATATAGTTTGTAAAAAACAAAATAAATAGTGGTTTGAATTGTGTAAACCCAATTCAAACGAAGTAATAGCTTTCTGGCTGTACAAAAAATTGTAAAAATCACCCCGAATTACCACCCTATTTAAAAATAATCACTACCACTTCACAATTCACAATTTATTTACTTGTATTGTGCCCTAGAAATTTCACCTGTTGAAAGTGCAAAATTTTGCAAAAAATTACCTTTTCTTCAATCATACGTGAAGTGTAGCTAGAAATGTATTCATCAATGTTTCAAACACACTGCCGGTCTGTGCATGAGTTGAAGTTATCTTGGAAACTTGTGTTTTTATTCGAATTATTTTGGATGTCATGTACATGTACCATGTCATAATGATGAATTGCTTCAAGAGCATACTTAAAGAAAGGAAAATTGAAACTTTCTATGTTCTTTATAACTTTTATTTGTAACTAACGTTACTGCAGTTTTGTCCTTTAAGGACATTTCAAAACGTATACATTAAACTAACACTGGTTTATTACATTAGCCCTTATTACATTAGCCCTTACCTATAGGGATGCTATATCCCTGTAGGTAATAATAGAGACACTTGGCTTGATTGAGTAACTGAATTTTGTTAACTAGTTACAAGGCGGTTATACTAATTTAAAAACCGGTGAGTAAACTAAATCGATTTGATCATTTAACAGGTTGCACCCGCAATGTTTATGCTTGTGAATTTTCAAGGATTATAAATAAGTGAGTTTGTAACCCTTCCTTGCGGTAACCTGTGGTTGTATGGTTCAAAAACGTCGAATAATTTTTTCTCAGTCTGAAGGACCTTTCATGTTCAGCATACGGTTTTTGGAAATTTCGACTACATTGTTCTACATAAACAATATACGTCTACAATAGACGATATTCTCGCCTGGATAACATCAATTTTCAGCCCAATGATGAATTATACACATATATCTTCATCCTGTATTACTCCGTTCATTTGTGAAAACCGTATCAAAATACGTTCGGTAGTTTTTGAGTTTATCCCGTTCAAAATAGNTTGTAGTTGTCATAAATTGGTTCAGATGTCGTATAGAATCTCTGAAACAGTCGTTGTAACTAGTAAACAAAATTCAGGTACTCAATCAAGCCAAAAGCCAAGAAACTCTATTATCACCTACAGGGGTGCTATATAAGGGCTAATGTAATCAATCATTTTTAGTTTAATGTATAAGTTTGAAAATGTCTTTATAGGACGAAACTGCAGTAACGTAAGTTACAAATAAAAGTGGTAAAAAACATAGAAAGTTTCAATTCTCTTTTCTTCATTATGATTTCCTACCACGTAGTAACGGGTACATCAATCAATTTATTAGAAACATACTTGTTGTTGTTTCTGCTATAAGCGTTTGACAAAAAACGAACTCTAGCCTTAATTCCTAAAAACCATTATTATTATACTTTTTTCTATAGTTTCATCTGTCGATTACCCTTTGTGTACTGTTGTCAATGTTGGTGAATCGAAATAAATATAAATTATGTTGCTGCGGCAAGAATTGTGGCGGCTTTGGAAAATAGTTGCGATCCGCGCCAATTTGCAAGAAACGTTGGTGTAGAACTCTCTAGTATGCAACAAATATGGCGGCGGTACCACAAAACTGATATACGGATGACCGCTTTCTCGCATCTAGTGTTTTGAGAAACCGAACAGTTACGGCAGTTTTCCTTAGAAGTCATCTGCAAGAAGTCAGAAATGTAAACATGGGTGAGTGGACAGTTAGGAGGCGACTCCGTGCTGCAGAGCTATCTTCTTGAACTAGTGCTACTGGACCCCTCTTTCCCGCGAACACCGGATTACAAAATTGAAGTTTTCACGAGAATGCTTGGCTTGGACAGTTGCGGATTGGAAGTAATGTAGCCATACTCGTATATGCTTTGCTACAAGGGTGAAGTCAGCTCGGATATCTAGTGAAGTGTAACCGTGAATGAAATGCTTCTTGAATATTCAGCTACAGTTTCCGAATTTTCTCAGTAGG